GTGGTGCTTCAGGTGGCTATGGTCGAATGTGGTTTAGATTGGCGGTGATTCAGATCGGGGGTCGTTCATGTCGACGATGAATCAGATCGGTAGTTGTTCAGATCGATGATTGTTGACAGTGATTTAGATTAATGGTGGTCGGCGGTGATTTAGATCGATAATAGTTGGTGGTGGTTCAGATCGTTGGTGGTCTGTGGTCGTTCAGATGACGATGGTCGACAGTGGTTCAGATCGGTGGTGGTCCATGATGGTTCAAATGGTGGTACAGATCGGTGGTGGTCCATAATGGTTCAAATGGTGGTGCAGATCAATGGTGGTCAACGGTAATTCAGATCGATGATGGTCATATTAGATTTTATGAGTATGATATATTGGATCAAGGGTGTAACAACTCGTCTCACATTGATAGAATATGAGAATTGTTAGCTCCTTTTATAAGTCTCAAATAGTGGGCTACTAATAACTTTCACCATATTTTAAGTTGTATTTGAAGTTATTGGGAGTTGCTTTGGGGTGTTACAAAGGACATATTTGATACTATGAAAATGGAGAATTTCATTCAATCAAAATACCATTTAGTTGCTAAATAATGAATTCATAGAATTTTAAAGATTTTTTTTGTGAAAAAGAATAAACCAAACGAATGATTTTTTTCATGAAAAAGAATGAACCAAATAAGAAAATGAAATTTGCTCAATAAAATTCAGCATTCCAATATCCATTAGATTTCTTTAGAATTTAGGAAGCAAACACCCCCCTTTAAGTATCTGGAATAGGAAGAGATGAATATAAAAGTTTGATTTAGATGTTATATCCTAAAAACTTGGGTTTCACATGTTTGGTCAACATGTATGAAGTAGAACAAAGACTATATATAATAAGCTTTAGTATGTTTTTTCGAAACATCTTCAAGTATCAAACACCACCTAAATGTCAAGCCTAATCATATCAAACTAATACATTAAGCAATAAATAATAAAACCTATTTCATTTCATGTAATATAATAAGGAATTGGGTTTGTACCATTTGCAGTTTCATTCCCTTCCCATTGTAAGAAACTATTTCACCCAGTTACAAAAAAGTGATGCTTTAGCTTTTAGAGTTTGATTACCTTGTTTATTATGCATTTATTAAATACTTGGAGCTTCTTGTTAAAAGTAAGATGTAATACCTTCTGAAGAAAAAGATAATATTACAACTTTAATATCAATATTATACATTGATAAATAATTAATATCAATATTATACATTAACTACAAGATTCAGGTTCGATTTCTACTATATGCCCATCTACAAGATTCAGGTTCTTTAACATCATCGTTCATACATGTTTGTAGTTATACATCTGCAAAACAACTGTAATCTGTTTTGGAAGAATGCTTTAAGTTCAACAAATACAAATGACCCAACAATTGCAAACAAGAGGTTTTTAAAGATCTCAATATTAACAAAATTGATATGATAAATTAAAAACACTTGAAATTGACATAATTGGTTTCCCCTCCGATCAAAGACGCAACTTTACGTGCCCCTGTTTCATCCATTCAAAGCTGCAACTTCAGTGACCTCAACAACATTCCTAGGACCATCACTACATACAACGCAATGATGAATGACAGAAACATATAAATCATCTTGAAGAATGCTCCAATACCTGGTCTTTCAAACTCAGGAAACTAACATATAAATCAGGGTTCAATAATTAATCAAATACGTTAGTAATCGAAGACAACACTAAACAAAAGTATGAAAGGCACACACAAGTACAGTTTGCAAGTCAAAGACATTCCACCCTAGTGGTAAAAGCTTGGGCATGACATAGTCATGAACCTGAGTTCGAACCCTGGAAGGGGAATGTTGACGACATTTAAATGGGGCCATGTTTAGCCTCCAAAATTTCCGGGGATTAGTCAGGCTTTGGCCCGGACACCCTTAAAAAAAAGTGCAGTTTGCAAGTAGATATTTTACAAATGTGAAGTTGATTGAAAACATATATAATCTGTGTAAAACATTATGTATCGAGTTTCAGACATCCAAGGAAGGAATAAAACAGCATCAACTCTCAAGCCTGGCGAAGGCGAAAGTTCTTAGGCGGCCACTGCGAATGTCTCTGAGAAACAAGCCTTTTGGATTATCATCACAAACACTTGCATCTTTATAATTATAACATCGAAATATAAGAAAATTGTAAATAATCATATTCATGAATGAATTTGTTATCAGAAAACTAATCAACAAACGATTAATAAAAAAACAGGTGCCTCAGACATCCAAGGAAGGATAAAAGCAGCATAATCTCTCAAGCCCGGCGAAAGGCGAAAGATCTCAGGCGGCCACTGCGAATGTCTCTGAGAAACAAGCCTTAAATCTATCATCACCGGCACCAAGGTTTCAAAACTGATAATTATAAGAATTAGTTCAAATTTGCTCTCAGACAAAGGCCAAGGTTTTCCACATGAGAAACTCAATAGATTGAACCCTAACTGGATTTGATTCAAAAGTAAAACAGCCTCCACTTTCAAAGTAGCCAGAAAACTGATACAAGAAAAGCGGAATCAGAACTTTTGGACGAAATCCAACTATGTTCCAACCCATCCGTCTCTCTTCAGTGTGGTTAAAGCAAATTGAATCATCATTGAGCAATAACTGAAATTGAGAAAAACTTGTCGAACCTACGAGAAAACGCAAAAATCCACAGAATTAAAGGAACCTGCATGTCCATGAGGCTCTAATTTGAAATTTTGATTTTGCATCTTACGGAGTTCTATCTGATATCGAGAAAACAGAAAACTCGTCGTCGATGCCTTCTATGGTTCATAAAGGACGACGATTAAAAACAAAAAACTGGCGAATGTAAACCTCAAATTAAGAAATCAGAAACAAAGATTTAGAAGGAGAAGGGCGGAGATTTGTGTTGTTGATTTGGTTGAGATGAGAAGCAGGCGATGAAGGGAATATAAGTAGGAGGAGGAGGATGAAGTTAGGGTTTTGTTAGGGATGAAACGCCAGCCCACCAAGCCCAACACTCGGTTAGTCGGTTATAAGAGATATAATAAATTACACCGTAGGTCCCTCTAATTTGCTCAGAGTTTAACGGATTTCATTCAAGGGTATTAGTGTCAAGGACTCGGTTTGAAACAAAATGCAAACCATGAGGACATTAGGTGTACTCATTTTGAAAGAGGGACCTATGATATAGTTTGCAAACCACATGGACCTAATATGTAATTTACTCAAAAAATATAACAACAAAATAAACAAGATTGAAGTTCAAGATTACCAAGTGAATTACACCAATCATTTCTATGCAATAGGTTCAATTTAGTTTTTGCCTTGCGGTATTATCTTGTTACAATTTTTATTTTAATATAATTAAGAGTATATTACATTCATTAAATTAAAAGGACATTTAAGGCATGTTCGGTAACAGCTTAATGAGCTCTATAGCATATATGGCTGATTCACACAGCCATACCTATGCGTTCAGTAAGAGCTTAATCGCTCAAACAAGAGCTGAATCGGCCAGCTACAAAACAACTCTCCTATCTACTCAGCCATTAAATTGTATTTATTTTTCTCATCTACCCCTCTCCCTAACTACTCACATTCACCATTAATTTGAAAGAAACCCTATCATATCTACTCCATTAGCCGACTGCTGCTGCTCCATCGATCAATTCTTCTCGTCGATTTTTCTACTCCATCGTTCTCCACATCAAGGTATGTCATTCTTGATCGATTTTTTGCTCCATCTTCTTTGACTGTATTTCCTCTCTTCTCGATCTGTACTTAGAAAGAAGTACGTGGAAGAACATCATTCATGTCCATGAACTCCTAGGATTCACTCATTTTTTTTGTGATTTTCAACCAATACCATCTGAATCTTGAACTAGAAGTTCTTAACCAAATACGAACCGTATCCCAAGAAACGAAGATATAAAGGAAAATCAGAGCACAGAGCAGGGAAAGTGAGATAAAATTAGGACAAAAACCCATGTGTTGATTTATGGATCTTGCAGTTGTGGCTACTGTCAAGTAGATGATGAAGCCAAACAACATTTTCCTTCTCCAACTTTTGACTGCAAGTCGAAGAACTTGTTTAATTGTGCTTTAGATAAATAAAAAACTAATACCAACTGATTTGATGGCCAAAATCAAACCTAAAATTAAATGGCGTCATAAAAGGTGGAATATTTTCTTAATTTTTTGTTTTGTGGATTTAATATACCACATTGACCAGAATGTGTAATTGTTTTATTCAGATAAAAATAAAGATTGGGGTAAAATGATCATTTTTGATATTCAGACTGTTTATTCAGCACAACAACCGAATAACAACTTATTCGTTAACTTCAGACTGTTCTCTCCATGATGAATTTGTAAGAATAACTTTAAAAAGGAGGTGGATGATCCACCGGTCACCATCATATTCCACGAGTTGTAGAGTGGCACTTGAAACTGCTACAGACCTCGTGGCACCTGAGAAAATGTCGAGGGTATCAACAATGCCATCGACATGCCTTCATTGAGACCAAGATGTGGTGGTTGAGGAAAGGAGGGATGGGTGTGTCAAAGAAAAGGGTGAGGGTTCGACGGGGAAGAACGAGGGATAGTTTTTCTTTCTTATTATCCAAAATGTTTTACAGGGTTTATACTAGTTTTACATTTTGGTACATTAATTTACTTAATAAAAAAGACAAACGATTTAAATGTCTCACTAAAGAGCCGTTTACTAAACTTTTACCCGAGAAGTGCTCACCAAGTAACTTTCCTTACCAGATGAACATGACAAGGGTCAAAAATCTTACTCGATAAGTAAGGGTGACGACTCATACTCAGGTAAGTAACAGTGACGACTCTTACTCGTGCGTACCCTCCGTTATGGTCGATTTAATATTCATCACGTGAAAGCAAGTTTCCATAAAATTGAGATCATTGCATATTTTTAAAGTTCATCGGAAATGAATGGACTTTAAAAGAATCAATAAGAATCGGGACTTGATGCAACCAAAAAGAATGCCTAAATTCTCATTCAATTAATCACAATCGCATTCTAACTCGTTTTTGTACAAAAACCAGTCTTCCCCGTCCAGCCTTCGAAACCGCCAAAATCGGGAGAACGAAAACCGCCCTCCACCTGGACCGGACCCGACAAAATATCTTCACAACAACAACGAACCCAATAGAACCTTGATCAAAACACCAACAGTTGCGTAGTCCCTGCGGCCTCTCCAGCTTGACGAGCTCGTAGAATTGAAATCCGCCACTGTGCTGTTCAAAAACGTCCCATTCATCCCATCACTACACAAACAAAACCAACGTTTTAGTGTTTACAAATACCAAAACTTGTCCCGAAACGACACTCATAAGGCCACACGTTATACCTTCCGATAAACTGACAAGATCCATGACCTGCAATAACCCGAAAATGAAACAACAAAAAGCCGAAATCAGTAACTCAAAAACAGAGGATATAAAAGAGACAAACAAACAAAAGGGCCAATTGTTATCGAGCTTTACTTGGATCAGTGGTGGTAAGCATGGCGACGCCGTTGAAATCACAAGTCCCTTCGCCCTTTCCCATCATATGATAATAACTATCGAAAGCAAACGACGCATGTGAAGCCACATTATCCGGTTCGTAGCATGGTTGCCCCTGCAACAACGCCGAACAATTCACCTTCCCAGGCCCACAAGCCCAGTCCAAAGCCGCCTGCAGCATTTTCGAGTCCGCACCTTCTTTTGCGGTACAATGATTCTGGTTCGCAGTGTCATTAGCAAAAGCCGGACCTGATCCCGTCAACTGTAACGTGTAAATCGGTTTCCCATTTGCGTCAAACAATCCCCAATTCTTCTCCGAAACCGGACCGTTTTTAGTATCCTCATTGTAGAGCTCGTAAATATACGTACTGACCGGAATCCCGGGATGCTTCGGAGTTCCGGTTTGATTCAATACATGTTTGATCAGGTTACTGTTATATGTGTTTGCATTGTCTAAAGTGGCATCGGGTTCATTTGAGTCACCTTTTGACGGCCAACCGGACTCGGTTACTAGAACCGGGACATTCGTTACGTTGAGGGAAGCCATGGCGTAATAAGCCGCATCCACCATAGCATCGAACACATTCGTGTAATGCAAAAGGGTGTTTGCATCCACAGCTTCTTTGTTCGCCGGCAAAGGGTTAAAAAGTGCATAATCCAACGGAATCACCCCATTTGATTGCATGTAATCATAGTAAGGATAAATGTTGAGCATGAGAGAAGATCCGGTGGACTGTAAGAATTTGAGAAGTGGAACCAAAACAGGGTTCCATGAATGGTTGAAAAAAGCTTGTGATGGTGGGAAGGAATCAAGAATCACAGTGGAAGCAATCGGGGTGGAAACTTTAATCTGACGGTCAAGATTCGAGGCGACGAGAGCGCCATGGATGAACTTGAGGGCGGTGACCAGAACCGGACCGACGTTCGGGAGGTTGTTGAAAACCTCGGAACCGACGCAGATGGTGGTGATATTGGTGGCGGGGTAATGAGCTACGATGTTTTGCGACACCCAGTGGGCGGCGGTGGAGTTTGATTGGCCGATTCCGAGGAGTTGTTCGTTGGGAATGGTAACGGCGACTTTGATGCCGGTGCCGGCGAGGGCAACAAGCATACCTCGATCGGCGTCGTACAAACGGACGTGACGGATTTGTTGGGATTTGAGGAGGGCTACTACTTGAGTTGGATGGGGCATGTCGGAAAGATCAGTTCCTATGTTGACGCCGATGAATCCATCTGCAGTAGTTATTTAATTATAGAAACTTGATAACTTTTTCCACCATTGACGACAAAATCAAGTTATAAAATAAAATCCCACGGCAAAATTAATTAAAAATTACGGCTTAAATATAACATTAAACATGCAAACATGCAATCACACCAAAAACCCACAGAAAAGGTCTTCTGAAAGCTTCTTACCTTCATCAGCAGAAACAAGAGAGAGTGATAAGAAGACCATTAGCAGCAGCAGCATCAGCATCAGCATTTTCATGGCTCTAAAACCCCCAAATTTGAACATGATTCAAGAAACCCAGAAAATAAAACTTAGAAGCAGAAATCAAGAAAGTGGAAAAGAGCAGAAGAAGAATTAGGGTTTTATATATTGAAGAAAGGGATAGAGAAAGAATGGAGTTTGGGGATCGATCAGGGTGTCAGAAGATCAAACGGTCGAGAATTAAATTGGGTTTAATAAATTGGGTGTGCAGAGAAGAAAACAAGAATGGGTTGGGAGCCGTTGGGTGTGGTGTTGGAGTATGAATCTCTCAGCTTTATTAACCTAGGGGGATGGGTAATCGACAGATTGAACAACAAATGGAGGCAAAAAGGGACAGGATTCCTGGCTTCACTTGTCGAAATAAGCAACAAGGTTTTTCCCAACGGTCATATTTCTGTACCTTTTTTGTGAAATATTTTCCTTTTTATTGTTTACATGGATACTTTCCTTTATCACACTTCTATCAAAACATTTCCATTGCTACTCAGTTTTTTATATTGGAGTAATAGTATATGGTTTTATAAATATATTGATTGTTTCTTAATATAAAGTATTGATTATAATTAATGTATTTTAATCATATTTTATAAATATCTAGATCATGATAAATAAACTCTCGTCATTTTCATAAAATATATCAGTTGATTGGTTTATATAATTTGAACCGTTTTTATATGACTACGCAAAAGGAGTTGGGACGAGACACTTTGTGATGGCCCATTTGAGATTTTGTTTCACGAAAGGAATATCTTTAACACTTGATTTAGATTTATAGGACATTGTTATCATATTTATTTTGTTAATATTTAATTTTTATTTATAATTGCAGTTAATACATCCAATAGTGTATTTAACTATATCAAACTAAAATCATAACCGATGTCACAAGTTATAATAAATCATAGTCATAGATTATCTTGACTATTTATTAATATTTTTACCGTTTAATTGTTGTTAGACAATGTATTATGAAAACCATTTTTTGTATGTTAGTTTTTTTACTTTGCAAAGCAGATCCATATTTTTTTTTCATCATACTCACGATATTCCAGATAGATCTAGGCGGTTCATCCCACACCGATTTTTATTAAGTGTAACGAAAATGATACAACGGGAGGGACATAAACCAAAACCTCATGATACGATATAGAGAATAGAAAGATAATCTTATTTAAAGATCCTTGCAAATATTGAACAATTTCTTTTTGTATTTTTTTTTCTTTTTCAATTTTGAGCACATGATGGGTGTGGTCAAGGAAACGTATCTTAAACAAGTGATACGATTCATCGAATAGAAAGATAACACCTTAAATAGTCATGGTTCATGAAATTGTGAAACTGGTTGAAACTTCAAAGTTGAAATAACTTTGTTTTTGCAATCATAGGAAAGACAACAAATATATACAAAAGAAGAATTCAATCTGTTATCCAAGTCTAAACTATAATGTAACAATGCGGTTACATTACACATCATTTTACCGTTTAATCTCCAAAAATAATCAAATTTTAAACTACTAAAATATACGAGATATAACTTTAAATAAAACTCCGAAATGTCCACTTTAATTTGTTGCGTTTCATCCATTTTTTTTTTTTTGACCAAAACATAAATCAACCAAAAAGTTTAAGAGTTACAGTCCAAAAGTTACCTATAATCAACTTGAGTCAATACCCGAACTAAGCTTCCTTATCTTTCCCTTTGTCTACAGTCCCCTTTCCTATAAAAAGGTTAATCAATAACGGGTAAACTACAATGCTTAGTGAGATTATATAAAAGTACATGGTTATAATGTATTATATTTAAATATTAAAACCGAAGAATGAAACGGAATCTCGAAACGAAAGCTATTATAACATCGAAGACCAACGACTCAGAGAATTCCATGAATAAATCATAAGTTCCAACAGTAACATATTTTCTTACCGACAAACTCGACAACTAAATAACATTACAAACATTATATATAGCGTATATATTTTGTCTATGTGGTTAGGTGTTTTTAACAGTCTTTGTCTTTGTTTTTAAAATTCGACGAAACATACCTTTGTGGTTGCGTTTTTTAACGAGTTACATTTATGTGGTTGTATTCTTTTGATGAGTTTGGTCCCTAAATAAATCAACATGGGTCCCTATGGTTGCTTAGGTAGCGTTTGGTATGCATAATGGATGAGACAAGATAAGACATGACTAATTGTCTGTCCTACGTTTGGTAGTTGGTATGACCAGAACAGATCTAGACTAATTGTTTGTCATACATTTGGTAAGCTAGTCAGGACAGGACAAAACTGTTAAAATGACCAAATTACCCATAAATATTGTTTAATGCTATTCCAACATTGCTGCAACATGGCTAAATACACACGCATGTGTTTTACATGCACCCAAAGTTCATATATACTAAATCACCAACATGCTAATCAAATTGTTATATTGTATTTGACATCATAAAATTTGATATCCACATGAGTTGTATATGCAAAATGACCAATATAATGGTTATGGTGCCGTTTACCAAACGCTTACCCAGGTAAGCACTTATCAAGTTATTTTACTTTACTGGATGAATATGACAAGAGTTAATAATTTTACCCGGTAAAAGCGTAGGCAAGAATCGAGAGTCTTACCCGGTAATTAAGAACGAAGACTCTTACCATGGTTAGCGCTTACCAGGATAAATTGTTGCATATGAGGTGTTTTAGTGAATAAAATCTTACCCGGTAAGTAAACGATAGTGTTGAATTTTATCGGTAAGTACTTACTGGGTAAGTGTTTAAGTAAACGGCCCCAATGAATTAAATAAACTGTCAAAAAGAAGTCATCACTCATTAGCCTTAAAATGTTGTATGCTAATCTGCCATTTCAATGGCCTATTTACTAATTTCATATCCTCCAGTTAATCTCTTCAAATTCAATCACTTCCAAAAAAAAAAAAAAAAAACCCAAATCAATATAGTTTTAACACCAATATCCATCTAATCTTTTAAAATAATTACCAATTTACTTTCTTGAAAACACAAACTTCATACTAATATAAGGTAGGAGAGGAAGTAATTGCAGATCAGAAAATCGAAATGGAAAAGAAGCTTAGAGTGGAGTCTAAAATCGAGAACAAACCAGAAAATGAAACCAGAAAACCGAAATCAAAGAAGCTTATAATCGACTCTAAAATCGAGACCAACCAGACTCAAAATCGAGTCTAAAACCCTAGAGCGGAACATATGGGGATGGGGAAGAAGATGTGAACTATTGAAGAAGTCCTAAACTACGAAAACTAAATGAAGAAGTCGTGAAGATGAGAAACCGAAAGTGTATCTGTTGTTGAAGAAGTCGTGAACCATAAATAAATCGAACTATGGACGCGATGAACATATGGGGAAGAGGACGTGAAACATTGGAGGTGCTTGTTTTAGATTTAGGTTAAGAATTAGATGATAGAATGACGGTAATCTTGTAATCTTTTATTTAGTCTCATACAGTTCCACTTAAATTAGATGTTAAAATCGAGTCTAAATCAGATTTTTGTTCCATGTTGTTCCTTGTTATTTTTGTCCCGTATCATACCAAACATGAAACTATTTATTTTGTCCCGTCATGTCCGGTCCTATCCAGTCAGCGTACCGAATGCATCCTTAAGGACCCAACTAACTCCAAAATGCAATAACAGGGAAATTATTCGATGAATTTTCTAAAATTAGACAAGAACTGTTAAAAATATATAACCATATGGACAAAACATATAATTAACTCTAATTCGTTTAAATAATTAATTTGTGAATTCATGAAATTTTGAGTAATGGGATTAATTAAATCTATAAAAATATAATATAAAATTAAAAGTAAAAAAACCCACAAAAACTAAATTTTTTTTAAGAACTAAAAAAATATTAAGGAAAAATGCATTGTATAAAACGCATTCACTATAACGTATGACAATTATGATGGCGATCAAGGAAAACTGATAAGTTGTTTTAATTTATAGGGCAAATTGCATGAAAAAGTAACGTACTTTAACTTGATTCTTATTTTGGGTAACGTATTTTCAAAACTTTCATTTTGGTACCTAAGATGTAAAGTTTTAAACATTTAAATACCCGGGTAACCCGGAAAGACTAAAAAAAAGACTAATTTTAGATTTTAAAAAATCTATGTCACTGACCACGTCAGCAAATAGTACCGAGTTGGATACCACATCACTCGCCACATCAGCATGATAATCGGTTAATACTTCAACCAGTTACCCGGGTACTTAAATGTTTAAAACTTTACATCTTAGGTACCAAAATGAAAGTTTTGAAAGTACGTTACCCACAATAAGAATCAAGTTAAAGTACGTTACTTTTTCATGCAATTTTCCCTAATTTATATGTACAAATTAAAAGTGTATCTGTGCAATATAGTGTGGTTTTGAAATTTTAAACTCGAATCTTCAATCATGATTTATATTTTGTTTTGTGATTTCTCTTTCTTAATTTTATTTTACGATTTTGAGAAAGCCAGAGATATGTTGATTATTATTTTATCTTAAAATATATTGATATGAGTTTCAAACTAAAGATTATAATATGTTGGTTAATTCTTTTAATTAAAGTTTTGTCATCACATTTAATATAGAAATATATTTTATTTTAGTTTAATTATACTTTTTTATATGAAAACTAATGTAAAATATTTTGTTAGGGTAAAAAATCATTTAATTTAAATGATAACTATATTTAAGAATAATATAAATATACTTACAAAATGAAGTGGTATACATCTTGATTTTAATGTTCTGTTTTATTATTTGTTTATGTTGATTTTATAATATAGTTTTGTATTGTTTTGAAAAAACGATAATATTTTTATATTGGAATAAAATATAAATTTGAGTGCCACATAGAAATTTGCATCGATATTAATATCAAATAACACTTTGAAAGCTCTCTTTTTTGTATAATTTTTAATTCAATTTCTATTATGATTTAATTTAGATTTAATAACAAAGTAATTTATTTTTGATTTAACAAAATATTTCTTTTACAAAATTAATAATTAGGTATTATG